GTGTGATACGCACACAGACACAGACACACACACACACACACACGTGATACGCGCACACACACACACACGCACACACGCACACACACACACACGCACACACGCACACACACGCACACACGCACACACACACACGCACACACACGCACACACACATTGTGTGTGGCACAGGCACACATGCACACAGAACATGGGCACCCAAACGTGAGTGCTGAATAGTGCTTTTTCGGGTGGCCTTTTTGAACGCATGCCTCAAAATGTTTGTCCCCTGCAGCCCCAAATTGTTTTTGGACCAGCTACGGGGTGCGCAAACCAGTTCCCCTGCCAGTGGGAGGTCCGCGACTATGATCGCCGTTTATACAAGGGCTCCTGTCCACTTTGCTCATGATGAAAAGTTGTCCCAAAAAACTCAAAAACGACTATGTACTTAATACTAGCGAGAGGTGCACACTGCACAGGTGACAGGAATGGCCGCACCTTGTCTTGCCCGCAAAGCTATGGCACTCAATGCTTCTTCCCTTGCGGTTATCAACTTAATATCACTCTGAATCTGAACGACTGCTGTAGCGGCTGTCTCTTATACACATCTAGATGTGTATAAGAGACAGGTCTGACAAATTGTGTGACAATAAAAGTTTAGAAAACTTTCAAGAGAGAGTGTAGGCATGGAAAAAAAACTGAAATGGCCACAGTCCCGACAAACGCTGATTCAGAACTGAGATGATGTATCCAAGGGACGCTGGACCCGGTCTCCAGCAGGTGTCGCTCCCCACCAATAGATAGATGGAGCAGCCCGACAGCGGCGACAGGGAAAGCCTCAATTCCGGTGGTTCTCTTACCACCACTGGGATGGAGGCCTTGCAGAAAATTAATGTGCTGGAAGCCTGGAAGGGGGGGGACAGAGAGCTTAGGGAATACCTCCAGTCCATTCAGGGGAGCATCAAGCCATGGCGACGAATCCGACGATGGTTTCCTGTTTTTCCTTTTGACAAACTTAAGACGAATTTCAGATACAAGGGTCTGCCGCAGCCAAACGGGCCGGTGACTCAAAGGAGCTCAGGGCAAGTGAAATTGAATAGCAATGCCTGAGAGAGATGGAAATCATGCCTTTCAAACAATAGACATGCATGCTCTCTCTCTCTCTCTCTCTCTCTCTCTCTCTCTCTCTCTCACACACACACACACACACACACACACACACACACACACACACATCCCCTCCATCCTTTTATGGACTATAAAATATACGTATATATATGTTCTAGTGTCCCGCTTCGGCGGCAGACGGGTGTGTGGGCATTTGGTTCTTAACCACACAAACGTGGCCGACCTTGCATCTCTAACTATCTTGTGTATCTATATTTTTTTCGTTCTATGGATGGTTTATGAGATTATGATGAACTGTGGACGAAATGAGAATTCAAAGAGAAAAAATTGGGGGTTTTATGAACACACACACACGTTGGCCTCTGTCAGTGCAAATAGCACAAAAAGCTTCAGTATAGGCAGATAGGACCAAGGATTGGGAGTAGGGAGATAGGAGCACAGTTAGGAAAACCGGATGGCAGGAAGTGTGAGACAGTAAAGAGTCTAAAGACAGAAGGATTCAGGGAATCCGGTGCAGAGGATGTGGGGATAGGAGGTAGGACCGTAGAGGGAATGTGGGGCCCACTGGCAGGTAGACAGAGTGGAATGGGGTGACTAAGTAACATGCGGCCAGGGGCTGGCAGGGCAGGGCACCCCTCCCCCCCATGCCGTGACCCCTTGGGGATTATCCTGCAGCGTGCCTGGGTGCTGCTAGTGAGCCTCCCAACTTGCAGGACAATCCCCAAGGGAAGGCCAAAGGATGATAGCGGGTGGCGCTGAAGCACCCCCCCTTTGAACAGGTGGCTCGAGCCACAAGGGCAGGCTGACTCTCTTCTCTGTCTAATCTTCCCCGCTGCTTTTTTTAAAAACTTTGCTTGCCGGTGATAAGCAACCCGACTGACGCCCCCCAAAATGAAGGGGCTGGGAGTGTAATAAAAAGGAAAAAAGAGAAAAACACA